CTGCTGCTGCCTGCCTCTGCCTGCTGCTCCACCAAAGTGCTTTTAAAGATATAATCTGCCGTTAATAACCAGAGTTTATACTGAACGCGGCTAAGCCCTGGGATTGCACTTTGCAAACAAAATCCAAGTCTTTGGCTGTTTGGGGCAGCTGGAGCCGCTCCCTGGGGTGGGGACAGGCAGTGGCATCACCCAGGGGTGCCCCAACATGGGGCGGAGTGGGATGGGTGGCTGTGCCCCGCGACGCGGGGCTCAAGTGGCTGCGTCCTAGGTCACTGCTCTGCAAGGGGGGTTTGCCTCCGCGCTGCTCCAGGGCTGGCTGGGGGCACCGCCGGGAGCTGGGACACCCTGACAGAGCCCCTGGGGACACCCCCGCGGGGGTGGCCGTGGCTGCACCCAGCCACCACCACGTGCCCAGGCTCCTGCGCGTCCCTTCCTGGTTTTTGCCTCCAGATGGGGTTTTGGCTTTTGCTGCCAAAACCCATCAGCGCTCCGGCCGTTTCCAGCAACCCGAGCCCCTGCCCAGCCCCGGGGTGACCACATCCTGCGCACGGCCTCATCCTGTAAACCACAGGGACCCTCCGCCTGCAGCTCTGGCCCCTCTGGCCCCGCTGGCCCCGGCACCACCGGGTGCCTTGGGGAAAGGTGGGTGTGAAATCACACCGGAAAAATGCATATTTTTACGTCTCCCCAGCAGGTTCGCTGGTGTTTTTAGGGCAGCGCTTCGAGGCCACCTGGAGTGTCACCTGCGGCCTCAGGCACCCGGATGGGACCGCGGGGCGCTGGGTGCGGCACTTTAGGCAAAAGGTGGGAATAACATTTAGCCGAGCGTGGCCGTGGCTCTGACCCTGCCGGGCTCCATCAGAGCGGGTCACCAAGCGGCGACGGCTCCTTCGCATCCCGGGTCCAGGTCCAGGCAGGGCTCGTCTGCCCAAGCCCCCCTCACTCCCCCCCAGCACCGCTGCAGGAACAGCCTGGGCCGCATCCTGACCCACCCCCAGCCACCCCCCTCGCTTCAGTAGGCACAGAGAGCTTGTGGCTTCCTCTCAGCTCTTTAGGAGATTAAACTTTTATAAGCAGAAAGGTTTCTGGGCTCTTGGCTTCCCAGCGCGGGAACCGCAGCCCAGCCTGTGCCTGCACCCTGCCCGCCGGCTGCCCCCCTGCAGGGAGGGATGGGGGCTTGACACCCCATCGATGGGCCGAGCAATGGCAGGGATGGGGACGTGGCTGCCCGTGACCTTGGTGTCATCCTTGACCTGGAAATCTCCTTCTCCTGCATCACCAGCGTCGCACTCCTGCCTGCGGCCACCTCCGGCAGGGTGCACAGCGCAGCGCTGGCTGGAGCTGCGCCCCGCGCTGTCCCCCACTGCCACACCGATGAGGTCCCGGGGTCCAAAATGCACCCCAGTTCTCACCGGGGGTGCCCGGTGCCTCCACAGCTGGAGCTCACGGGGTGCAGGAGGCCCAGAACGCCCCCGGGCATCGCAGCGCTGCCCTGGCCACGCCGCCGCTGCCGGTCCTGCTGCAAGCCTCCAGCAGCAAACACCTTCGCCTCGCACGGTACCGCACACGAAGCCGTCCCCGCCGCGAGCGGGCACACGGAGCTGCTTCCCCCGGGGACATTGCCTGCGGGTCCCCCGAGCCCTGCCACGTCCCCCAGCCCCAAGCCCAACCCCGGTCCCCAGCAGCGGGATGGGGAAGGCGGTGGCAGTGCCACCATCAGCCTCCGCTGCCTCCCACCAGCACAGCCCCACGCCGCCACCTCCCTCGACAAAGCCAGCCGCCCCCGAGCCCCGCGGAGGGCTCAGCTCCGGCCCCGCGCCCCGGCGGCAGCTCTCCCCGTCTCCCCGCGCCCCCCGTGTGGGGTGACCCCTCCGCACCCCCCCGGGGCAAACGCCGGGGAGCGGGACCCCCCACCCGGGGACACCTGGCCAGGGCGAGATGGGGAGGGGAGAGCCTCTCGCCGGGCTGGAGGCCTCCTCTAACTGCCTGTTGAATTATTCAGGAATGGCATTAACTTATAAATGAGTGTGTTTGACTGATTTTGTGGTTGATGTACAGATAAATTCTAATGAAAGACAGCTACAAGATTTTAAATTATTAATTAGACTGCCACTTAACAAAGCCTATTTGGCACTCTATTTCCTTGCTTAACAAGACAAAAACTTTAAGAATAGGTTTTGCATTAGCCCACAGGCTCTTCAATTTGCATTTTGTTTTTCTAGTTCCAGAAATGAAAGCTGTAGATCTTGACCTTAACAGGCTACCCCTGGTGGGATGAAAGCCTGCACCCCTGCCGGCAGCCCCGCCGCCTGCCTCCCCCTCGGGCTCCCCGTTTCCCTGCCCGGATGATGCTTTTCCCCCAGACGGCAGCAGCGGGGCTGGGAGCCGGGGCTGGGAAACGGGGCTGCTCCGAGGGCTCGGGGTTTATTCGCAGGACCGCCATCCTGGTTGGGTTAATACGCCGAACAAAGCCGAGGCGGGAGCCAGAGAGAGGAGCATCCGAGCGCGAGGCCCCGCAGCCGCAAGGTGACTTTCCCCCCAGTGGGAAACGGCATCCCCGGGGCGGCAGCGGGGGCTCTGCCCTGCCCGGGGGTCCGCGCCCCGAGGCGGGGGGCTGCGGGTGC